CCGCATCACCTAGTTACGTGTCAAACATTGTTTAGTAGTGGTTTTGATTGTGTTCAGCCCCCCAGTTTGCTTACAATCACGGCCTCGACAACTTTGACGAAACTTTTACTTCCCACCTGTGTGTATACAACCGAATTTCAAATCCATGCACTGTATTACACGGCCGATATGCCTCCGCAGAACAATGCCATTATATTCCACACAATACTGATTCAGGCAGTAACACAAGTCGCCGGGTCCATTATATCACCAAATTAAACCCATTTAGTAACCGATTCGTAAGTAAACAGTGCCGGTTGCGAATTGGGCGAGGTTTTTGATCGTGAATCGGAGCCCGGCACTAGTCTGTCGGCCGCAATTACGCGTAACCCCAAGTATTAATTACATTGTCTAATGGAGCGGCTGATGTTGGCTCGGTGACGCGTCAACAAATGTGTACACCCTAATTGTGACTGGTAAACTTCATTAATTGTTTCCTTAACTTTCCTTAGGTATAATTTAAATGTTCATAAAGGATAAACCGACCTTCATAGGAGCTCGTACTTTGCAGATTCGAAATTCTCTCTATTCGAAACCAAAAAAGATATTAATCAGAGTGCAATCCACCATAGTGCAATCCCATTTCGCGACGATTGAAATTTTTGAATGCTTTCGGGTGGCGCAATCAAAAAGCGACCTGATTAAAATGAGCAGTCCAAACATTTTGCTTGTCGGTTTTTTCATTAACACAATGGTTTAGTTAAAAGCTTGCTCTCTTAGTGGTATTTGTTTTCAGCGCAGAGCGGTGGCGCGTCGAACGTTAAGTGATCTTTTATCCGGGACTAATCGAGCGAATAGTTAGCTCCGCGTTACAATGTCTCGCCAATCAGTAATGCACTAGGGAACTTTATTATGCTCGAATCGGCTTCAGCTCGCTCTTGTGCTTAGCGTAATAACTAAACACACTTCAGTACCTACGCCATGGAAGATGATCTAAACGTCGATGCGCAATTCCAAAGATGGGTTTAGTGAAGTCACATGTAACGTCACAAATACATCGTTAAGAGAGATTTCCTGCTGTTTAATAAATCTTTGTTAATGCATTCATTGAATAATTCTATGAATACTTCTGAAAAAAGTAACACCGAATTCATTATTCCAGTACACAGCTGGCGTGCAAGCAAATGTCATATTCGAAATATTTTCATTACATTTTTCCGGCGTCATCTGTGACAAAAAACCGAATGCATTCAGTACCGTAAGCCTTGCACCGGTAGCAGAAGCACTTTAAGCGTTATGCACTCTTATAAATATTAAACGGGGCGAGCCCGGGACCCCCAACAAAAACGTTTATCTGGTCTCCGTGGAAAAACCGCCAGAATTAGCAGCGGGGGGTGGATTAAGGCGGACCGCACTTAATCCTTCACTAAGAAGGCTTTGCTTAAACGAGTTCTAACGAGCTAAAGATAAAACAATTACCGGCGACGTGATTAAGAGATTCGGAGGACACTTGTTACGTCTTACGTAGATGCCGTCTCGGCTCTTTGACGGGCTGTTGGCTGTTTGCCGTGATTCCGCCGCGATTTACTTACCCGCTCAAGACAAATGTTTAACTCGGGCAAAGGGACTGTAACACGCTCCTTTTGTGCCGGAAAACTCTGGAGTCGTGCTCCTTGAGGAGATCTGTATCATGCTTATTAGGAAATGTTGCTTTACTCAAATAAAACTGGTTATAGAGCAAGAGCTAACCTAAATTTTTCAGCCATTTTCATAATTAAGATCTAGAAAATAAATTTGGCTTCGTTGAGGTAAGCTAAACTAAGATTTACTTTAGGTCTCCATCAGACGTAAAAAGTAGCCCTTTTAAAATTTTACCAAAGTTAAAATAGCTAAGTTTATGTCGGTATCAACTCACTTTAAAGCATTTTTCCCCTAATTTGTCTCACTCTACTCGTACTATATGTACAGTTAAGTAATGATCAGATGTGATTACTTATCCCCACGACAAAGAGACAAAAGGTCCCGAGCCAGGCGCGAGTCATCCACCAAAACCCTCGGCAAACATTCAGCCGTCCAATTTGGCCGTAAGTTCAATAAGTTTTCTGAAATCCCATTTTCGGAAGAATCAACAATTCACTCCCCTATTACGCAGTAAAAGATCCCAATATCAAACCGGGCGTGACGTTTGTCATTTTATCACCTTGTCGCTCCTCCTAATATTTTTTTACCTCAATTACGACTCCCTCTGCGAGCGCAAATAAACGTTTCCAAAGATTAAAATAAAATTCCCGTGAATATTGATACTGAGAGCGAAGGAGTATAATAAAACGGAGCTCCTTAGACAGATTACCGGCCTTTTATGGGGCCCTTGCCTTAATAACATTTGTAATTGCGATATCCTATTTAATTAATTAGGCATTAACATACTAAATGTATTTTAAAACCAACTGGTAGACCTATTAGAGCTGGAAGTAAGGCATAACGAAATAAAACAAATTATGAATTCAGTATTTGTTTGTACAAAGGGAAGATAGAAAGATTTACAGATTTAACCATTTAAAAAATAAAAGTGAATAGAATATTCTAAAACAGTCCGACTTAAATTCAAGAGTGCCTCCGAAAAAGCTTATAAAAGTAAAGAAATTAATCTGCAATTCAAAATCCTTCATTGCCCTCTTAATTTTTTTTTCGTCTTTGCCTTTTCTTGGTCTTTCAAAGACATAAGAATCTCAATGCGGATAAGATTTGGAGATTTGTAACAATAAACTGGCTATGAAAAATTTTGGATGTAATGTAATCAAATTTCCACAAAGTAGGAATAATAAACGTTCCTACTTATGAAAATCATAAGTGTCCTTAAACAAAATATTATTATTGTTATAAGCAAACCAGCCGAAGCGGAGTAATGAATCACAGTCCCATTTGAATTTTAAAAATTTACTTAATGATATCTATGCGTTAGGGAAAATACACATTAGAATTGTAAATTAATTACTCGGCGTTCGCTCACGCTTTTCTCTTGAATTCGGCATTCATCGCCGAAATCGAATTCGCCCGCGAGGGTCTACAAAACTAATTACGTATCTCCGATACTCTTCTTCCACGCTTTCTTACGTGCCTTTCGCATTTCCATATAAGTTGAGCTCTAAACGAGCCAATCTATTCACGTCTACACATCAGGGGGTCGCATTTGCATATAGAACAGAAATTTATTAAATCTACAGCCAATATCCAACGTTCCGACATCGAACTTTCGCTTCTTGGTTGCGTCTCTGATATTTTTATTGGATTGTAAAAGAGCTATTTGCTTTATGGTAACCACTTCTGCTGAAGGCGCGAGTAGTTCAAACTCCGCGATTTTAAAACAATTTTTCAAGTCAACCTGCGTTGTTTAATACTCCACAATCGAACAAAGGAATAATACTATGTTATGTAGTCATTTGTTCATTTACAAATTTTTAATTTGCAAATCGAATGTCAAAAAAGTTACTTAATAAATCAAAGAAAAAAAACTTAATAGCTATTTCAAATAATGTTCCATGTATAAAACAAAACACCGTCGATTGTTTTTATTTATTTCCTTCCAGCCAGTATCGCCCGTCGCGTTTAATATGATTATGAAATTAAAAATACAAAACATTTTACTTAGCTAATGGATCCCGTCGTAATTTCACCATTTTTCATTTGACAGGTGACGGTTTATAAACGAACTCTAATTTGCTTCCCTGGACTAAATTGTTTGGAACATCTACCTAAATAATTGTATTCTTTCAGAGACATTTCATATTTTTTGTTTTCCTATTTTCATAACTTCTTTTCCAACTTTAATTAGGCGATTCGTTTATTTCGTCTAAATTATCAAAAGTGTTAACGTGTAGTCATACGAAGCTAAAGTAAATAAGGTATTTTAAAAATGGGTTATAAGGTTATTGGTAAACCTAATTAAGAAGAAAATGAGTCAAACACTTAACCAGTCGATATTTAGTCAGTTTTATTTAATATTAAAATAAAACGGAGTAAATTAATTATAAACTCATTTCCTTAAAAGTGGTTGGTAACGGAAGCGTTCAATTCTGAAATGGTCTCTGAGGAAGGAATATTAAAACCCTTTGAAACAAGCTGGTATTAATCCCCGATTTATCATTCGCATTCATTTTGCTATTTTAATATAAATCAAAACAAATGGCCATCAAAAACTTACCATTACGGTTGCCATTATAATATAATACTTGTCACAATATGTGTTTACAATATATGAGAATTACGTGAAGAGAAAACTTAAACTTTCCAATATTGAATCGATAAGCAGACGTTAATCTATTCGAAGTCATGCTTCCAAAACAAAACACCCAAGTATTAAAATATGTTCTCGTTTTTCTCAAAAAAATGTTTGTGTAGCAAAGGCATAAAGCTGCAGTAATGGGTTGAGTGTCGGTGCATTTTAATTAATTCCCTTTCTATCGCGATGCGGCTATCAGCGCCCCCGCAGGCGGCGCAAACAAATAACTGTGGCCGCCGGGGGTTAACGGTTTTGACACAGCCATAGGTAATGCGAATTTTTCTCCGCTACTGCAGTTATCGAACTACAAACCGGAACTTTGTAGGAAAAAATGTTACACGGGATATTTTAACTGTTTTCATAACATTAAAAATAAAGCCACCTCTCAGCTGCGGCAGATTTTTAAACATGAAAAATAAAGCGTCAAGTAAAGTAAAGTAAAAGTAAAAGTATTTTATTTTACAAAAGAATTACAGTTTTTTTATCTAGCGGCTGCTGCACTAAGCTGTGCTTGTGTCGCGGCAGCAGTTAACTACCTACATACCAAAATTAATTCTAAGCACCTAAGCAATATCTGATCAATTTCATGTTTGTTTTTCAATACGAGATATTCATATAATCAAATACATATTTGATGCCGAAGAATAGAGTAGGTAGACAATGAACGTGCGGCAGATTCTTTGTGAAATAATCGTTATTATGAGTGAGATTCTGAATTTTAAGCGTGCTTCTTTGTTCGCAGGCTCTGGACGGCCAAAACATCTACAACGGATGCTGCACCCTCCGCATCGACTACTCAAAGATGACCTGCCTTAACGTGAAATACAATAACGACAAGTCCCGGGACTACACCAACCCGACGCTGCCGTCGGGCGATGGAGACGCGCACCAGCTGTTGACCAGTGAGTTGATGCCACTGCGGGCTCGGCTCGCCCTGGCGCTCGCATCCAGGATAAGTCAGTTCTTACTACTCCGCGCACCTGGACGCTTAGCGCACCGCTCCCGACACCCTGTGTAGACTAGAGCTGGCATGAACCTAAACAACTTCTTCCCACCATGTCCCCTTCACCACCCTGAAGGATATAAACTGTCAATGTTAACTTCTCTTAAATGTCTTCCTCTAATTCAATTCTCGATCAGAAAGATACGGCCGCCAAGGGCATGACTTGCATCTAGGATGATTTAGTTTCTGATACTCCATGCACCTGGCTGCTAGACGCATAGATCCTGTTCACTCTGTGAACAAAAGCTAACAACTTCTTCCTTTCATATCCTCTTTACAGCCCTATAGCTATGGTCGTTACCACAGAGCCGCATTCCAGTTCCTCTTTCTTAAAATGCGATCGGGCCCCACTCCAAATCCTGCTCAGAGAATATGCCACTGCCTCTAGCGCCACCCCGATGATCACCTCGTGTAGTTTAGAGCTGGCATGAACCACTTTTAATACCACCACACCACGTTTACGTACATGCCTCTTCTGTCAAAGTATCTAGTAGTTCTATCGAAATCTGTTATGCATCGAACTTTCTATATCCTGCATCCGAAGCCAACCTGATCTTCGTTCTTTTAAATTTAAGTATTTTTTTACGTCAAAAAAGTAAATTTTCAATTTAAAGTAAGTACTAATAACCTACCTACCTGGTGCTTATATTTGAACTGCTAAACTCTATTTTATTTTGCGTTACATGTTTCTGATTTTTATTCTAAAGACTCTTTGATATTTTGGCACCAGCACCTTAATTTAAAACAACTTTAATGTTTTATCTTGTTTATTTCTGATAATTTTATTTTAGGTTAAGTATTTTATTGCCTTTGTGACTAATAATAAGCGCTACATGTTAGTGTAGCTCACAATAATAGTATGTAAGTTAAATCATATTATGTTTAGTCTCGAAAGGGAAACAAAACTTGCTAACATTAGGTAGGATTAAAATAGTAGTTGTTACGCGACTACGTCAAAATTAACTTCTCCCAATTAGCTTGAAGTTATTATGTTTCAAAGTAGTGTTAACCTACCTCAAAAGACAATAAACTTGTCTTTGGATGGCCAAAATAGAGCAGTTTATTTCTTGAACTTTTGTTAGAAACAGTAGATTCATTAGGGGTAAATTCCAAACAGGTGGAGGTGTGCTAGCGCCACAGTTCCTAGGACTGGGCTCGGGCCTGACTTCGCCCTACGGAGTGGGCGTGGGCGGCGTGGGACTGCCCGCGTTCGGGGCCCTCACCCTCACGCCTGCCTCGCCGGCCCTGCGAGCCCTAACCGCGCCCCCGCTGCCGCTTGCCACAGTGCTCCTCGTGTCCAACCTCAACGAAGAGGTCAGTACCACAGTCCACACCACGACCCAAACACCCCATGTTTGACTCCTGACAAACCAAACAGGACCTTTATTACAAACTTTTTACAACACCCCCCTCAACCTTTTGTTTTAAAACTTTTTAGTAACCGAAACAAACACGTTGCTTAGGTTCACGCTTGAAATCTCAAAGGTGAAATCTCATAAAATGAGACAACCTAATTTGAAATCAGAATTTTGAACGTTGAAATTTTAGATGAAAATTGATTGACCTTAGTAGTAAATGTTTATTGTCAAATTATTCATTACGCTAACACAATAGCCAGTAACGACCGCGTAGCTCTACTCCGTAACGATGGGCTCATTCGGCGATTACGCAAACGACTAATGCATTCACTAATACGAGCGGCGTTACAGGCTATTATACTTATATATCCTACTCAAAACTCTTTAAAAATAAGTTGCTAATTTCTTTATAGATAATTATGATGTCAAATATCTTTTACGACTATTTATAATACTGTCTCTTTCTCTCTCCTATTGTTTTAGATGGTCACGCCTGACGCTCTATTTACCCTTTTCGGTACGTGTGCACATACATTCCGTATTTTATATTAAAACATTAATATGCTCCTGAGCCCTGTCGCCTGGAAGACAAATTGTCACCTAACATTCTCGACTTCTGTACTGATAACCGCATCCGTTTGTCGAAGCTTCGCTTGATAACACTATCGAACCTAAACGCTTTATTAACTTGACAATTTGTGTTTCAGACGCTTTAGTCGTAGCTAAGTTATACGTCTCTTGTCTACCCAGTGTTGTCTTTGTTTCATTATCATTTTATTTTTTCCGTCTGTCTCTATCAGTTGTAAGCAGATGTATAATTTGCATTTTGTAAATTTTATAATTTCTTACGTTGAAGTTTGTAGATTAAGCGAGACTGCAGCGAGCTGCATTACATCGCACATTTGAAATAGAAAGTTTCTAAGCCACCAGATGTTGGAGAAAAATGTTTTACCACAGTTCGTAGTTTGCTTCAAACAGCAGACCGATACGAGTCTGGACTGTTAATAGCTAAAGCATTAATAAAGGCTTACCGTGACCAATTTAGCGCTTGAAGTGGTTTTTTTCTTCTTATACAGNTTTTTGTGTATTCTATGTATTTTTTTAGTATCTCCTGTTATTTAGCATTATTACTGTTTTTATTTTATCAGGATATACCGCTTAGTTTAAAAGTTATTACGTTTTCTTTACAATAAGTAATTGGAAGAAAAAAAAATCTATAAAAAATTAAAAAAAAATCTCAAAAAATTTTTGACCTCTTTTTTGTCGATAAAAATAGGTCTAGTTTCATCTATTTTCATATGTACACTTTAACGTGACTCACACTGTATAATTTTCCAACTGTCCCGTTTCATGACATTATTATACAGGGTGGAAACGTTAAGTGATCTCACTCGATTATTTCTAAACTATACAAGATATCGAAAAACTGATTGCTGATCCTGAAAGTGCTTTACAAACTCTTTCAAACGGTACCAATAATAGGTTACAGAATAAACTGGAACTATTCGAAAATTCAATGTTTCTAGCTTCCATACTAAATGTATGCCAGCCACACAATATTAGAAGTGTAATTTATTTTTTGTTTAATAATAAACTTAAAAAGTCGTTAAATAAACTCGTAACTTGCATCTTATTTAAAATTATTTGTGGAAAACATTGGTATTAGGTTTTACTTGCTATAATATTATCAAGCGATGAGTGCCATGACTGTGATAGTACTAAATGTATGGAAGATGGAAACATTGAATTTTTGGATAGATCCAATTTATTTTGTAAGCTATTGTTGACACCGTTGGATAGAGCTCGTGAAGCACTTTTAGGATTAGTATCTAGTTTTGCGATATCTTGTGTAGTTTTTAATATTATGTAACTTTACCAAATGTATGGATGCTGGAAACATTGAATTTTCGGATAGTTCCAGTTTATTCTGTAACCTATTATTGATACCGTTTGAAAGAGCTCGTGAAGCACTTTCAGGATCAGCAACCAGTTTTTCGATATCTTGTATAGTTTAGAAATAATCGAGTGAGATCACTTATCGTTTCCACCCTGTATATTTTACAACATTACTACTAAAATACATTGTATTCTTCAGAGTAAATGTAGTGGATTTAGTTTAGATTTTTAGGCGTTCTCTGTAGACAACATTTTGGGTCTTCTCAAATGTGTTTTATTTGATGTTCTAACAAAATTACTTCAAACAATAAACAAAGCCTTATTACACCGTATATAGAACACAATTATTTACCTACTTACATACAGAACCTATATCTAATAACGCACATTTGAGCCAACTATAATTTAATTGTTCTTGGATTGGATTGAAATTAACCAAATAAAAATTACAAAAATGTTTACGATGCATTCAAAATTTCACTCCAAGTCCAACTAGTTGGGTAACTCCCTGACTAAATAGACTAATTAGAAATAGTACAAACACAAGCGTGGTCAGTGTGTAAGACTATGTTTGTGTGTAGGTGTATACGGGGACGTGCAACGGGTGAAAATCCTATACAACAAGAAGGACTCAGCCCTGATCCAGATGGCTGAGCCGCACCAGGCACATCTAGGTAAGAAAAACAAATATTAAACTACACCTTCAAATCTAAATCGCGTTGGTAATGTGTAGAGACTTAACACAATCGCAGTTTTGCCTTGATGATAGGGTTAAGTTGCCTAAAATTACGTTATTCAATAATGTCTTATTAACTCTACCCCATCATTTCGTCTAAATGGCTTGCTTGTACTCGTTAACGAATGTTCGTTCTGTACTATTCAAACATGAGAGGACATCGTGAAAACGAAAACTTTTTGACCCACGCAATTTCAAATATTTTGTTAGACTTTCATTATGTTTCCATAATTAATTGGTACCATACTTAAGAAATTCATTCAAAGGTTTATTTAAAAAAAAATTAAATAGGTGCCAATTGAGACGTTTAATTTTTTTGTAGCGATGACTCACATGGACAAGCTCCGTGTATTCGGCAAGGCGATGCGCGTCATGCTGAGCAAACACCAGACAGTGCAGCTGCCTAAGGAAGGCCAACCCGATGCTGGGCTCACGAGGTACGATAGATAGTTTGAATTTAAAACTTTTCGTGCTGAAATAAGGTATAAAACTATTTTTTTGACGAGAATTGCAATTTGGCTAAGGAGCAAGGCTCCGACTAGCGCAGCGTGGTGAACAAGTGATCTTATAAAGGTTACACTTCCATGTCCAAACAGCTAATCAAGAAAGCATGGGGGAGGCCTATTTTGCAGTAAAAATAATGAATCATCATATTTTTTTTACAACAGAACACGTCATTTTCAAAAAATACTATCCGCAAAATGCTGTAAACAACATAATCCAACATTCCTCTGCCTTTTAAAAATAATCAACAGCAGAAAATGTACAAGGAAAATGTTCCCTCCATGTTGAAACATCTCACTTACAGTTCCCCCGAACATAATCCTCATACGGACCGCGGAATACATTCTTCCCGTGTTACATTCCAGGGATTACTCACAGAGCCCGCTGCACAGATTCAAGAAGCCGGGAAGCAAAAACTACCAGAACATCTACCCGCCGAGCGCCACGTTACATCTGTCCAACATTCCGTAAGTTATTGTCCAATTTATACGTCTCATTTGCTGCAGCGACGCCCATTTGTCACTTTTTCCGCTTAACAACTTTCGGTGTATGCAGATATAAAATACGGCGACAGCAAGGACATCACTTATATTCTGCTACATTTAACTGAATTTCCTTCTGGTCTGGTTTTGGAAACATATTTTGAACATTGCTGTGTGGTTAACACGTATGACGCCTCTTTTCAGAGCCACGGTGTCGGAAGATGACATCAAGGAAGCCTTCACCAAACGGGGATTCACAATCAAGGCATTCAAGTTCTTCCCGTGAGTTTTGCCTAATTATTTTCCTTTTTTCTTCCAAGTCCCAACAGTTGTCACAATGCCATCTACCATTTGATGGAGTCTCTGACATATCTTTATCATCTTTTAGGCAATAAGTGTTCCAGTAGTTTTCTTCCAGTTAAGTGATTTATTCAACATTTTCTCGTTATTTCCATTACAGCAAGGACCGCAAAATGGCATTGGTGCAACTACCCTCAATCGACGACGCGGTGGCGGCGCTAATTAAAATGCACAACTACCAACTCTCGGAGTCGAACCACCTTCGAGTCTCGTTCTCCAAGTCCAGCATCTAAGGGTGCTTCCCGGAATATCACACAAGCGGTGGCGGTCGGTTCGGGCTGCGAGCCGATTGCGGTACGCCTCTCACTATTCGATTCGCTGTATAGGATCCCTTGCAAGTTTAGGTGGCGCCACTAGAGCATGGTCTTACTAATTCAAGTCACTTCCTTTCATGTCCAAATTTTTTGGATAAGCCCCTTCAAATCTAAATTTCCCGATAGTTATAATTGGAGTATGTTTAAGATTTTTGATTCTTTGTCCAAGTTGCAATAGGATTTTTTGCCCAGTTATAGGAAGTTCCAGTGCAAGGCGCTATTCGTAGCGCTGATATTTAACATAATAGTAGTTAGAATTTTAAGGCCATTCTCTTTGGCTTGGCAGCTATTGTCTTAGATCTAATTCATGTCGCTGATTGATAATTATAATTACAGCGGCCTCAAGACTCTAGGGCCTTTAGGCCTAAGCTATTTAGTATAATGTAAGTTAAACTACGATGATCGAGGAATCGCACTGTCAATTAGTTCTAATTGACGCCGCCAGTTGAAATGTTGCCAGTGTGGCGCCGGTAGCGACAATTGTAGGTAGATGAAGATTTTTGTGCACGGGATCTTCTGCAGCGCTACTCTATTGTATATTATTTTTAATAATAAAGAGCTACCGTACGGCCGCCCAACACCCGACTGTCATACATCTTACCTCTCACACAATCGAGAATTTGACTCGACTGAAAATTAAATTGTATCTGTATTACGCTTACTCGGATCAGTCTAGAAATTAAGTGCTACTCTATTTTCTTAATGAATACGTACGTATTACTACTGTACATCATAATCTAAGATACTATCATCACATTTTACTCGTTATTTTAGAACAAGGGTGCCCACCTACTTTACAACAGAGAGGATTTCTATTTTGTGTGATATTCATTCCATTTATTGATTTTCATAATTTATTTTTGTAAACGTGTAATGATTTCCAGTGATTTCGATATATTTATGGATTCTTGAAATCGAAATACTATCAGAAGTATATAATTCTGCAATTAGATTGCGCTAGATTTGTTTAAATTTGGCAGTTTGTGTAACTATTTTTAATTGCAATGTTTGACATTGCCCCAGTTATTTTTATGGTTAATGACAGACTATTATTATTATTATATCCTAAATTGTAATAATCACTTTAGCACATTGTTAAAAAAATATTTCTTTGTCACATAATTTGCAGTTATTATCCTAATATTATATTTTATACATATATTTTATGCTCTATTTTAATATGCACAATTTACTATTATTGCATTTCTTTATAAGTAATTATATAGTTTTGTACGCATACACATTTTTTCTTATTTTATTATTGATGGAATGTTACGTTTAGAAATGTGTATGTGTGTGCAATATTAGTTTTTAGATATATTTTAATAATATATTTTAGGTGTATGCAACGTCTTCTGCGCCCGGACATCCCGCGCTATATATTATTACAATCTTATATGCTTCCAAACTCGTTTCGTTGTTTAGGAGAATATTATTCTATACTTTGTTTCAGTAGTTCGTGACGTTTAGTTAGTGTAATCACAACTCTTAAGGCTAAGCATCTAGATTATATTTCACTATTTAAAGTTATGTTCAGCGACATAATAGTGACATGATGCATTTATTTTGATGTTAATTTATATTAATGGTAGCTACAACATATTATAAATGCTCGTGCATACATTTCACTAAGCAGTTAATTATAGATAATTATTTATTCTGCCTGGTCGGGGAACGCTGCGTGGCGCGCGGTGACGTATTAGAATAATTGTTGTGTGACGCCGCCACGCGCAAGTATTAGCGAGATCTGATTTTGCTCTATGACATATAATCGTCAGTATTTACTGTCACTAGGTCACAATACTTCATTATTAAACAGTATTTTAGTTAAATAATTCTCCCTCGATGTTTCGTTTTGTATATAGACGCTCCGACTTCCAACACTCGAGCTTTTCACGCTTCTCGGACTTCACCAAGTTCTCGATTGGTTTCACACGACTTTGCCTTCTTAAATTAATTAAAAATGCGTCTAGTCCAATGCAAAAGAGATTAAGCTTGTGGGTAAGTGATTTACGTTATGAAAAATCTTGTAATTTGTCTATGTCTAAACTCTGGTAAGAAAAGCTTTTGTAAAAAGATTGTATTATAAAGAATTTGGTCATAGAGTGATGCCCAGATATTAAATCTAACTGTTAGGACCAGTTTTAAGTGTTCAGTTACACGTCCAGTATACACGAATGACGGCGGAACACGCGTGAGACAGATACCTGAACGTGACACGTGAGGTGAGAACGATCATCACAATAGTCGTTACTAGCTCGCAAGTCTTCGACAGAAGCATACATATCTTGACAATGCCACGACGGCATTTCAACTAGGGTAGAGTTTGAGGCGAGTGTAAGTATGGCGGTGCGAGCATGAAGCGGCGTCTCAGCCTCGCCGAGGCTCAAGTCCCTTCATTCCTTACTTTCAACATAACGCCCGTAGTCACAAATATCAAACGGTCGAACAACCGACCCGTTTTTCTTATTTAAGAAATCAATTTGAAATCATAAAATCACATATTTACACTATTATAAAATTGTATAATATACATCACGTACTCTAAATAAATAAAAATAGAGCTTAGTAAATTGAATAAAACTGAAAAAATTAGAACGTCATTGTATGTAAGTTTTAATAGAAAAATCATACAAATTGTATTAATCAGTACCTACCTACGATAAGAACATTAGTAGTTATTTGGTTTAGATAATGTTAGGAGACCAGGGTGTGGTGATATTTTGCACGTTTTTGAAAATGTTTTTCTAATAAGGTGCAGGATTCTGTGCCTGTTTTGAAATAAAGTGAAGAAATGGAAAGTGACTGGTGGTGGTCTGCTTCGAGATCGGCGGGATCGCATTTGTAATTTTAAAATTTACTATTACGTATTCGATAAACAAAATCACAAAAAGGAGATTACATATCTTTATTGAACGTAGAACGCTACACACGGCATAAGGCGCATCGCGTGAATAGTTATGTATCAGTTGCTTGTGCTCAATCGTAGTCGACACAGTGTGTAGCGTTTTCAGGCCTAAAGTTTTTTCAATAACATCGGTATTGACTAATAGATAATTAATAGGGATTTATGTGTTTAGAGAAGTATTTTAAATATTTAGATAATAATGGTAATATTATTAAAAAATAATAAAATAGATCAGTGTTTAGGATGAGATGCCAAATTTAAGAGTCAATATCACATTATTTTAGGTAAATGGTAATTGAGGTAATCTTAACATTTATTGAAAAGTTGATGAAAATGTTACAGTTAAATTATATTTGAGAGTTTTATTAAGCGCAATATATGCAATTTTATTCATCGTAAGTGAACATTGTTTCAATTTGTTAGTTAAAGTTATGCGTTGAAAGATGTGGATGTTGTTTTCGGATGTCTTCAGTTCTGCCGCCGTGCGCGGGCCGAGCTCTTCGTGTTGCCTTCCTGCGTTCAAACGACATATCCTAGCATATCATTCTGAGGATGCTTAAGTATATTTTATTGCGCTTTATATTCACCTCTTGTAGTAGCTGTATCGGTACAGAGCCTCGCGGTAGGCCGACATATCAACTGAGATTGGCTCAGGCGCATGATGCACCCATCGGTCGCTCGGGCGACACTCGTCGCCGCAACATACTTTCAACTTCATTGTTTCTGTAATGCCTAATTTAAGATGTCATCGTTTCTTTTCTTATTGTAAAGTTAAGCCTTTTGTGTGGTTAATTTCATTCTTATTTTTAATTTCATGATTAAACTTATTATTATAATTGATACTTTTTTGTTCTTTATTTTTCACCTTTCCCTTTCTACCCTGCGTCCCTTTTGTTTCTAACATACTCGATACCAATTGTCTAAAGTACGACAGAGTTACCTACGTTGAAGTTATGGGAACCTGTTTTGTATTTATCCTTGCATTGTTTTATCCTTTAACCTCCAAAACATTTTTTTTTAATTTCACGGTGTTTTCAAATACTCAAAGAGAATATACTATTTGTAAATAAAACTTATAAATTTTAAAGGGGATCAATATAATGAAGATGTACGTTAGTACACAATTGGTATTCTAGACATATTCGTACTTATAGATCTAAACTATCCAAACGGTAATCTAAAGTCATTATCATTTAAAGTGTGTATCTGCTTCTGTGTTAACCCTATACGACTACCTTCCTTGTTTTGCTTGAACGTTTCCGATCTTGCGCGGTTAAGTATAGGCGAAATCGTTGTTTAGTTGAATTGTAAAAGGAGTAAGGGACTAATATATTGCCAATGATATGTTTTATAGAATTATATCAAATGGATTATATCTAGCACAGGGTATAATGTGAATAAATTATATGCCGCCCGGGTGCGAACCTAAGCCCACGTCCCTTATTCCTGCTGCGTGGAAAGAACTGATCCATTCCCTATTAAAACGTTGAATTAGCAAAAATGTGTAACTGCCAATTATAGGGATATGCTAAATATCGTCGTGAATTGGATTACCTATAGATAATAGTTTAATTATAAACAAATTTGACATTATTAGCAAACTGAATTTAAATATTTTATCAATACATTTAACTTACAGATATGAACTTGAAACCTATAAAGTGGCAGTTATTCTCATGTTATAATCTGCGGATGTAAATATTATACACAACTATGTTAATAATTAACAAATTAAATTAATAGGATCTATAGTAAAAATTAACATAATCATTACTTTAAGATTTACTAGATAATCCTATCTTAATTTCAGTAGTCGCTATAGTTAATTAATACCTACTTATCGAGAATAATCTTCCTAAGGAGTATTGTACTACTCTCCTTTCTTTGTTCCTTCGACTTTAGTATTGTTTAGTTGTTCACTAAAAATTAAAATGGTGTGCAAATTAAAGGGTTGTGTGTAAAGTTAAAATAGTTAAATAGTTTAAAGTGAATCGTTTGAGTAACGAAAAAAATATCTCATACTTTTCCTATGAAAAAGCACATCTCTTACGTTTGCTCCTCTTCGGTGATTTTTCTGACCTTCCTTGACGCGTCATTTAGTGTAAATGATTCAATATGCCAAAGACCAATCATTGGACAAAAGAACAGGGATCTTGATATTTTCCTTTCGACTTAAATCTTAACTCTAATAGAAAATTAACTACTTACTACCTGACTAAAGAAATTGTTAAGCTTTAACGAGCAAACTCCAAAAAATGTATTTTGATGATCATGACATTGATTTTGTGAAATGCCCATGGACTTATGGTTCTTTGGGACTCTCTACCTACAGTTAAATAATACCGTTGTATGAATTCTGATTATAATATACAATATTAACATCTAAGTTACTACCCTATTGAACTCTAGATTTATTCTTTGTCATTTTATAATAAAATATAGTTAAAAACGGCATTTTTAATGTTATTTCCATACCTATTATGTTCGTGAGTTATATTTTGAGGCAGGAGTGATCTGAGTTAGTAAGTATACCTATTTTAAAAAGAAGCAGTAAGTATTCACTTACCTTAAAACCCCACATTAAAGTAAGATTCAAATTATAGGGTGTAAGTACCTAATAAGAATTAAATTAAAATCGATTGAAACACATTATAATTTGACTTTGAACCTAATCAAAGAAAATAAGAGTTGCAAATCAAATAACTAGGCATATAATAAGTTCAGCCCCCTTAGACAAAACGCACTTTTTGATCGAATCGAAAATCGAATCCGTCAAAACTCCATACAAAAAAGGGGCTTTTCGATTGGTTTGCGATTATAATTTGCACTTTGTCTAGACCCACAGTTCCATGTGATATACTTACGTCGCTCTAAGGTCAACGAAATTGAAAATCTAGTGGCGGAGACCATACACATTGTCATGTATTTCACAAAGACCCTTCAAAAAATAAAATACATTAATAAATCGAAATAATACACACAAATACGCATGAAAATATATTTTTTATTTATTCACCTATGTAACACCACAAAACAAATAAAATAAGTTGAGCTTTGTGTACACTTACCTTTAAACATTCCCGCCCTATTTTTCCCGCTTCTGTCTTGCACGTACTACCAACAATACAGAAAGTAATGTGTCTTTAACATTTAAGGCTTATCATATGTTGGCATTACGAGTGACATCGATTACCACAGACTACACCGTACTCATATCGTATCAGTATCGTATCTTCTTTTGAGGAATTGCGATATTGACAGCTTGTCGACAGATTTTTATATCAGTGTCATAGATTGAAATAATTAATAAGAAAATCAAGAAAAAAATATTATTTTATCACTAGATCAAATACAATAAACATTGATTTCTTTCATTTCACGAGTTTTTTTAATAATAAAAATAAACCTAAACAAATAAACCTGATTAATATTGATAATCCAGATTCCAGGTTAAAATACAGTTTAAGAATATATTATTGTATACTAGCTTTCCGCCCGCGGCTTTGCCCGCGTGGAATTTTGTCTGTCACAGAAAAACTTTATCGCGCGCGTCCCTGTTTTTTCAAAAACCGAAATAAAAACTATCCTATGTCCTTTCCCGGGACTCAAACTATCTCTATGCCAAATTTAATCAAAATCGGTTTAGTGGTTTAGGCGTGAAAGAGAGACAGACAGACAGAGTTACTTTCGCATTTATAATATTAGTATAGATTTACTTAGTTATTAGTATCTAAACAAACTGAATTAACATCATAAAAATTACAGTTCACACCACACAATAATACTTTGTACGTACGGCGTATGCCAGGCGACGCAGGTAACGTAGTCTGCGGAATACTATTATGCTGATATTGATCTAAAATTACTAGTTTTTGCCCTTGGCTTCGCCTGCGTAAAAAACTTGGTACAGATTGCGAAAAATTATAGTTAATTTATTCTCATTGTATAAACAATAATACTGTATAATGAGTAATTACTGTAAAGATTAACCAACATAAATAACTATTTTGTACATATACATCCACACAAACTTTTGCATTTAGCATAGTAGGATATACACACGGCCACACTGTTACTATCCATTTCCGTTTTTGCTCTCGCTCTCATCAAATGGTGATCCTTTGCAATAGAACGAGACGACATGACAGGCAATGGATAGTTAACACTGTTGCCGATGGTACCTGTTGAATTATTGTATTTTGAAAATAATAAAATAAATAGAAAATAATTAAAATTGGTTCTTGTATAGGTACAAATATTCACTATCTTCAAGCCGACTGTTTTTTCTCACAATGTCTATCGTCTTGCAATCAAAATTTTGATAAAATTTCGATGATACGATAACATTACGATGTGACTACAAATTCAACTGGACATCCCTATTTTTCTATAAAAAAATATAGTGTCATTAATGTCAACCAACACTGTCAATGTCAAAAAACTTCAAAATAAAAACTGGAGGTGGTGTTCGCAAATTTCGTAATTGCCGAAAGTTATCGGATTATAATTTTAATTTTACCTGTCCATTTAAATCCACTGCCCTTATTATAGTTACTAAAATATATCTACAATCATATTAATGAAAAATTAGAATAGAAATGTTGAGAACTGTGGTACGTCTAACACCGACTTTTATATTTCCTATATTTGAGAGCAGAAATGCAAATGATTACGATATGCTCAACAAAGACACTGAAGCTCCACGTACAGGCTTCGAAAGGGTGAAAATGATGTACACAACGAAGTAAGTAACTTATTCGTTATACAAAATAAAATTCTAACCTCGCAGTTTCTAATATTAAAATATTTTTTTACTAAATTTATGTTTTCTTTTTCAGTGAATATGATGAAGTATCTCCAGAAATGAACCAGGTTGCCCAGGCAGCAATGTTTGGAACATTTATCGGAGGTTGTATGGGAGGCTTTGTAAAATCTCGCAATGCATACCTCTACTTCATAGAAACAAATCAAGCAACAATATTCACATCTACTATGCAAGCTAAGGTACCTATTAGTACACTCAATAACACTTTTATTCATGAAAAAAAAATTGTCACTCGGTCAAATAACAATGCTTTGGTTTTCAGAAAAAGTTACAGGACTATGTTACAGTTGCGTTTGCGAAAGGGGCCTGCCAGTGGGGATGGAGATTAGGCATATTTTCTGGAATGTTCAGGTTAGAATTAATGACAACCCTGCCTTTCCATCTTAGTTGCATGGATTTTGGTAGATGTCACTTTTGTCTCTTATGTATACTTAAATTGGACTGCAGTCATATTACTGCATGCATTAGGGAATAAATAACCTGATATCAAAAGTATTCACTTGAATAATACTTTTTTTCCTATTTCCAGTTTAATAGCTACAACCATATCAGTGTACCGAGACGACACATCCTTGGTGGAGTACATAACAGCTGGCGCTATCACTGGTGGACTTTACAAAGCTAATTTGGGCTTGGCAGCAACCTTTGTTGGAGCTGGACTTGGTAAGAACAACAAATACATCTTGGAAACTTGGTGTCTTGAAGTTATAATACTCTTAACTCAAACCCCAAGGGGTCGCTTATGACTACATAACAAATTGTTTATCTATTGCGCTTCGATTTGCAAGGCTCAAAGGTCTACTATGGAAAAACTAAAATCGAATTTACTCAAAATATTGGCTCCAAGGGTCTATTCATAGCCAACAGGGCTAGGATTCGCGCAAGGATACAATCTTATTTTAATTATCAATTACATTTGTCAAATGTAATTGTGAAGTGCATCTTAAAACGCACGTATTAAAAACATTACTATGACGTTTCACACTGCGCGCGGACGCACAGGGTGACACACGAACCAATCACAGAGCTCTATTCAAAGCTGTGTTTGATTTGCTGCTAAGCAAGCATTGTTTGCGAATACAGGCATTAGTCCTACTGGTCAAATAGATCTTTTTTTTATGCAAGACAAGGCATATTATCTTTTCTGATCTAGGATGCATTTATGTGGGGTAGAATACTTCCCTGCTTTATTAGTCAAGAATGTACCTAGTCCCTGTATTTCTTTGTATGAAGAAAATCCTTATATTGTAAAATAATATATTTTTATTTGTTTCAGGTGCTGCATTAAGTACAATTGCTGGTTTAGCAATTTTAGGAGTTTTAAAAATAACTGGTGTAAGCATGGAAGATATAAGGCAAGCATTGTATAAACTCAGAGAAGTAAGGTACGAGATAATGAATTTTAATTTTTTTACCATCAATACACAATGTAACAAATACCATCCCATTTATTCGCGGGCGCCCGAATTTGTGTCTGCATCGAAAAATAACTCTGCGCAGACTCGTGGCAGGCAGTGTAATAATAAAACAGTGCATATCACGTTTTCTCTCGCACTCACACTGGATATGGGTGACGTCACACAGAGGCAGGCATAGAGTTGTTAATAATACGTAATAGGTACGTATTTTAAAACAATTGCGAGTGTGCATCTCTGTTTCAAAAAATACTTTCAGCCCCACCTGGCCACGAGTCATTGCGTCAAGTATAATAGGCGCGCGTATTATTACGTGCTCTGTGGGAATTTTGTGAATATTTGACAATTTATCTATGTTCACAGAGAAGACCAGTTAAATCAAGCAATTGAGAAATCAGCAAAAATTAAAAACGATGACCTTACGAGACACCACGATCAGCTAGTTTTGGAAAAGGGCGAGAAAAAAGTTGAAGAAATGTAGAATGAAACCTTGATTTATTTTGTAAATAACTATTTTTATTTTATGTCGTGGGAGTTATAATTATTTTACTCGAAATTCTGTTTTGTACAGTAATATAGGTATAGCAATTAAATATTTATTACAAATCATACTTGATTTCCTTTATCTTATTTGAGCTAAATTGGATATTATTTCTAAAATAAATAAAACTTCAATGTTTATATCAAAAGCATTGTATTGATATTGGTTATTAACTCTGCATTCTATAAGATAAAAATAATAATTTTACATTTCACATATAAAAATAAAGTGAAATATTTACATGTTTAAACGTTTTTGTGCATCAATTTGACGAATTATGCAAGATAAAATTTTAAATGGGATGTATATCAAAATTAATACATTCTGCAATTCATTAAAAGCAGATTGAATGAATTTTCATAAAATACACGGCAAGAATATTTTATTTATTTATAATATACTTGGACTCTATCAAGATTATAATAATTATTGCTAATGTTCTTTTAAATTATACACTTCGTAAATATTAATTCATTGTTTGTAAGATGTCAGTAAAACTTTCTGACATGTGTGCAAACTCAACATTTTTATTCGTAAGTCTAAAATCACGATTACATTATTGCACCATGTAATACCAAGTTTTCATTAATACAGTATAACCACAACTATAACATTTTAGCTTACAAATACATTGTACGCGCTTACAATTAATATAAGATACGAAAACGTAAGAAAAAGTACACAGCTTCCAATAATTACCAATAATAATACGAAAATTATTGAAATAGAAGAGCATCGATAGAATGTATCTACATTTTTTTGTAATATAATGTAGGTAACATTAATAAATAGCTAATAAACGTTATAATTATTATAGTAACATTGTAATACTAATAAGATGAAAATGCAGTACAGAACGAGTGAGCTAAATCTACATTCAGGAACAACTTAACATCTATTTATTGCCAACTTAAAAAGGCAATGGCTTATGAAGGTTACAAAACTTGACTAAGGCCAAGGCGTAGACCACCGACTTTTAGTTGGCTGATAGTTGGGCCCGATTTCGGTCGGATCGGTGTAATATGCGCACTTCCATACATGCCCATACTGATTAACTACCCGACTAAACTATCGCCCGACAAAAAATCGGTGGTCTGCGCCTAGCCTAAATGGAACTAATACTTATTGTATTTTAAAAATTAAACTTTTCTGGCAGAGGAGTGGTTATTCAAAAAAGTGACTGATTCAAAATCATCTACTTTTTATGCAAATAAAACAATATTGCACAAAAAAACTAGCAGTCTTGCGATCATGGACGCATCTTATAATAGAATTTAGTCATTTTTACAACTTTCGTTACATGCATTTAGCAAGTCTAAAATCCAGCCATATTATTGTGTACTGAAAATCACATTTGAACATTATAAATATGATCTTTTGAGTAAAACTTAAAGATTTTAACTTCAATCACATTGAGGTGGCTTTAAATATTGGATCTCTCGTCACTTTGATATGGTATTACCTGTCACATCACTTTCTAAAGCAATTTTTACAAATTTTGATTATCTGTCGTTTTAGAACGAGTCAACATTATAGGGAAATCAAAAAATACTATCATGCGTTGGCAAAAGTAAATCGCCAAAACATTTTCTAGATGTAAACCGCACGTCAAATGGTTTGGGCAAAGATTTTCAACATCAACCTTACCATCTTGTATTTCGGTCGAAAATACTATAATGTAATGGTAAATAAAAACATGCGTTGACGAGGGATCCACTTCCAATAAAATAAGACTAGTTCACTGAGTTTGTGAGGGTTTCGTGATACGCTTAGCACCACGGTTGGGCGGCCCTTTGGGCTTGGCGAAAGCTGGTCTGTGAAGATTCCTCTTGGGGTGTATCTCGTCGTATAGAAATTCTTCTGTCAACTCTTTGCCGTCGTCGATTTCGAGCTGAAAGATAAATTTAATTAGTAAGCATGACACACCAACTTTTTTAACTTTTTAACTTAAGGTAGCGAAATAAATTGTTCTGCCTCCCTAGACAAGTTACACTTTTTGATCGAATCGAAAATCGAATCCGTCAAAACTCCATACAAAAAAGGCCTTTCGTGCACTTTTCGACTGCTTTGCGATTATAATATGCACTTTGTCTAGACCCACTGTTTCTACTGATGGGTATGAAATCAAAGTAAAATGTGCCCTAGATTCTCAATAATGTGCGTAATGTAGTGGTAATCTAGTAATGTAGACGAAATAACAATCCACAGCACAGATTATTTTTGTGCTTAATAGTAGGGTTTCAATTATACTTACGCGTTTTGTAATTTCTATTCCCATTTTTTCTATGATTTCTAAAAATTGTCCTTTGCAACTGGAGTACAACATCCGCTCCTTTATACTACAGTTGTAGCCCGGCATTGAGTAAATGAACACTGAAATAAAAAGTACAATACATAAGTAATATTCAAAGATAAAAAAATCTTTTGTGTCTTCAACCTACATGAATAAAATAAATAGCTGAATGCCCAGATCATTATATCATTTATTATATGGGGCATTATTTGATCAAATTAATTTTAGGCCCCATTCCAAGACTTGATAAGTTTACATTTATATTTATTTTTATACAAGCACATATTTCGTCACTCCCACCAAGTGTTATTTTCGCGACAAAAATATTTCGCGCACGTGTTGTTTGCAAATTTTGAAAAATTCTGGCGTTCAGTCGCCGTCTCTAAGATTAATTCATTAATTTTTGTTCACTGGTTTACGATGAGGTCTCACAGTGCGCTTAAACAGGGTCCCCAAAAACCTATTCATAGACAATACTTGAGTGAGTGTACACCGATCAGAGCTTCAAGACTTCGCTCTTTACATAGCGTTGCTGCCTCACTTTTAAGCAAGTATCGTTTGTGAATACGGGTGTTAGTTAGGCGTAAAGTAACCGAAATATACAGTTACTGTTCCATTATTAATATTAGTACATATGTATTAGGGATGTTATGGATATGTAGTTTCGGTTATGGATACGGTTACGGATATAGGAATAATATTATACCGGTTACGGTTACGGATATCTGTGCTATAGAATGCAATTTGCAATAGTTGTCCAACACGGTTCATTCACGGCCGCACACTTTACATCGAATAAAAAGTAATAAAAAATCAAAATTGATACTAGATGGCATTATAAAGGTAAATCAGGCTGTTATGCCTTTACATATAATACTATACAAAAAACAATTTAAACTATGTACCTACATCCGAAACTTTTGAATCGGTTATGGTTACGGTTTCGGATATTTTTTATTTTGGATATCCGAAAGTTTCGGTTGCGGTTACTTATATCCATAACATCCCTGGTATGTATTACCAGCTGCACACTAACCTACGCTAGCCATGTGGTCTCCTTCGTGCGTGTGCTTGAATATGTAGAGGTGGTACCGCGCCTGGTCTGATGGCACTTGCCGAGGCAACTCCGCTAGAGTTATATTCGCCGCTTTCGATAAGTGGATCTTTTCTTCTTCTAAATCTGAAATTAATTTACAAATGTATTTCATTGAAATAAGGGGATAGATGGGACTACTTCATTCTTTCGGCGATTTTTTTTTTGCCCGAAGACATTAAATGCCCGTTTTCACCATTAATCCCTAATATTTAAGTGACTCCTATGAAAACAAAATTCCTGTTACATGTTACATACACATAGGAGTCACTCAAAAATTAGGGATTGATGGTGAAAACGGGCATAATTGTTTTTTTTTTATGTTTTTGAGTAAATTACAGAAAACTTACCTATTTTAAACTGTAAATAATTGTAGGAACCTTTCGTGAGATCAAAGATACCCTGTTCCGCCGCTTCCGTTATAGGAAACGACACCCCTCCTATGGTTGACTGCCTGCAATAAGAAATAAAAGCTAATTATTACATGCTTTCAAACAAACAACAACTTATTATTTATTTATTTGATCACCAACAAGGTTACATTGAGGCTTCACAAAAGTAACTATAAAAAATGACACTTGTTATATGCAAACTTAATTATGATACCATAGTCTTTTTCAGCTAAGATGATTTCTGTGACGTTTCCAGTTTATAGGTTAAAGAGATGACCCTTATCTAAATCAGTAATTTACTGTGTCTACTGACACAAACGAGGTATTGATTTCGAAGTGTATTTGAGTAGGTACTTCAGATCTTTTTATCAATAGATAATTAAATAATTAATACACAAACTGCACCTACTACCCGTTCGCTCTAAGTTTGCCGGTCCGTGGAATGCGCATCCCATCCCCCAACCGCGATTAAACGCAATTAATGTGTCTTATTTTACGCAAATACACAATTTTTATCATTATTAATAAATAAATAATATTTTCAATATAGTTTGCCATAGTCATATTTGTAACTAATTTTTTTTCTGTGGATCTTATCTATTCACAAAGTTGAAATATTCACTCACCTGGAGTCTGTGCCAAAGCCAGTGTTGTGGTCATTTAGCTGCAACTCCTGGAGCGCTTCCTCGCGTGACGTCAGCGGTGCCGGTGCCTTGGCCCCTCGCTCGTGGGCGCGGTAGCCTTGTAAGGATACCTCCTCCTACACAAAGAGTGAATTTACAAATATGGCAAAAGAACATTATCAGGACTTTCAACTCCATCTCAGTTATTTATTTATTTATTTAAGGATAGTACACAGCACAATATCAATCTGTGATAACAGATAATTTGGTTGGCAAAAGCATTCAACCAGTGAAGAGCTAGTTTAAATAAAAAGAACATTATCAACTGGCTCAGGACTGTAATATCTGTTTTCCTAAAATGTATAATTCTCAAAAAGTCTATGTACTCATCATGTTTGCATTTATATTTTGTCAGCTAACAGCTTTATTGAAATGTCTTCATGAACATTGTACAAAAACTGACATTCATGGAGACAGAAAATTTGAAATACTTGACATTTTGAGAACCTGACAATAAGCAAAAAACATGCTCACTTTTTGAATAAGCAGACATTATGCGACAAATACATTTTAGGGAAATGGATATTTCAGGCCTGAGCCTATCAACTTTGCAATAAATTGAAAAATATATCCATGATATTTTATTTTTTGGAAATACCTCATGAATTCTTTTTTCCAAGTTGAGGCGAGAGTATTAAATGGCCTGGACACAATAAAAAAGAAGTACCTACTTATGTTTTGAGGGAAGGCTCAAAAAAGGTTTTCACATCCATTTTGTGTTGTATTTATTACAAAGGAAGAAAAAAATTTGGTGTGTACTGCACAAACAATAATAAACTTTGTTTGAAACATTACCTTCACCGTAGCATGCATTTCATCCTTAATGTGAGCAGAGCCAAACTCCTGTTTGAGGGTGGCTTTTGTCGAAGCGTACAACATCTTCTGTCTGACCGGAGCACTGTCGGGAGACCAGCTGAGGAGCAGCCACTCGTGTCCCAGGGAGTTTGTTGTGTCTAGCCTGGAAATCAATCGCAAAACAAATCAATTAAAGTAAATTATCTTCAAAGGAACCTTATTTGGAAACTTCATGATAGCAGCTAGTGATTGATATGCCTTAATTTTACTTCTTAGCAGAAATGACAAGACCTAATCTGAATTAATTTGATGTAATGATTACAACACTGATACCAAACTAGACATAAACTCAGCCAAGATAAACAATCAATAAATGAGAATTTCAAAAATTTTCTTCATTGAGGAACAAAAAATTTTAATAGGCATCATAATAATATTGCAAATCTGTCATTTGTCCAGTTTATTGAATAATTCAGCAATTTCAAGAAATACTGTTAAAGAAGTCTATTTAACTTAAACATCATAATAATATTTACCTGTACAAAATATAGCATGGCTGATCTTCAACGATCAATGCTGGCACATATTTGTCAAAATCCTGCTCCCAAGATCCTTTGGCTGAGTGTTGTTTTGCCAATGTTAGCTGTTCTGGAAATAGAAAATACCGTATTAAAGTTACTACATATTTTCATATTTTTCATCAGGTTAATGTTTTATTGAAAAACAATACTTACCATTTTCAATGCTAATTTTCATAAACCGAAGTTTCCCATCTCTGCATTTCCCAAAGAACTTTTTGAGTTCAGCATTTGCTGTTGACAACAAAGATTGATATTTTATTGTGTGTTAAAATACCTATTTTTTTTGTAACATTACATTCTGGATAAAACTATAGTAGTTTTATAAAGAATGATCAGCTCAACTTTATATAAAACAAAGTTTAAGACAATATTTTTCAACATAATAGCGTTGTCATGATTTTTAGGCGAAGCAATTATTACAATAATTGCCCATACGAGATAGCAACGTACACAAATGGCAAACAAATGCATGGGCTTCAACAATCAACAATTTGGTTATAAGGCGTAATTGAACTATAATAATCTAGATTACGTTTTGATCGCCTTTATATTTAGGGCTGAATTTGTTTGTACATTTAAAATAGGACTGATAAAAATAGTACGAAAGCAAAGGGTGTGGGTGTTGTTTTATAACTGTAAATGATTTGTAATCAAAATATTATTACCTTGAATCCCTGTTTGGTGAGACATCGTCACAATGTTAATTTGATTGTCTGGATAGGACAATACTGTGTTTTAAATTATTCTAAATGACTTTATTAAGCAAAATCTGTAAAAAATATTAGTGAAGAAGGAGGAGGAAGACTTGCCGAATTTCAAGACGTCACTCCATAGAGAAAAGTAATACATAGGAAATAGAGAGCCCTCTCTGTCAAATTTTTGAACCTACTAATTGACAGCCTGGTGTTAAATTCCCTGTACTTAACCTACGTACGTAACGCTCACATACATACATAGTACACGCACACATACATACATAAAGTCCACGCACACATACACACAGTTCACGCACACATAGGCCCTCATAACCCTCAAAGAATTATTGTTTTTATGATGTACAATGTAGAATTTTTTCAAATCCATTATTTTGAAAATATTTATCTTTATGGTGTACGTATTGTATTATTTTCAAAACAATGGATTTGGAAAAATTCTACATTGCACATGGAAATGCAAATAAGTAAACAAAAACTTTTGAATTTAATAATTTTACTTTATTTATGAACACACATAATATTATACACCAAAAGCGTCTTTTCGCAAAGTTTTCAACAACACTAAAAAAGCATTTGCACATTGAGAAAACTCAGATCACTTGTGCTGAACTGATTTAAATGATAAACACATTTTTCTTGCGTTGAAGTCAACAACTATAGCAGATAACGGTAACATACCAGTTTCAGAAGCTAAAGAGAAAATAAAAAGCCAACCTTGGCTCGGCATATTGATCGTGAAGTATGATGACATACGTCATCTATCAAATGTTGGAGAAAAAGGTCATTAATCGACTTTGCGAAAATGGCCAAATAAAAGTTTAATGCATAAAATGTGAAATACGATTGATTTTTTTAAGATTTTCATATGAAAAATTAATTCTATAATATATCTCAATGTTTTATTTAAGTACCCCTATTTGGCAATGTGGTAAATAAGCAACAATCGTTTTTCGCGAAAATACCAACCAAATATTTTTTTTACTATTTTTCTTAACTTAATTTGATAGTAACAATTAGGTCTAAATAGATTTTATTGAAAAAATCAAACAATTTGTGTCTTGCCAAATGAAGGGTTAAAAAACTTTAGCTAGTCCGATTTACCATCATGATTGGTCTTATGCTCTACTAGGGCAGAGCCACCAAGTTAGGAGCCGATAATTTATATCTTAACTAGCTTTTGCCCGCGGCTTCACCCGCGTGAAATTTAGTTTGTCACAGATCGTCATAAACTGCTTATGCTATGTTATTCTGGGTTATAAACAACAATAATACTGTAAAGTTTCATCAAAATCCGTTCAGCAGTTTTTGCGTGAAAGAGTCAAACATCCAGACATCATGACATCCAAAATGTATAATGAGGATCAGTACTGTTGTAGAAAATTCAATAAAACTAGTATCTACGTTAATCTTTAAGACATAAGAAAGATATATCTTTTTGAATTATCCAAATCGGACCATTACTTACGAAGATATTAAGTAATAAACATAGGCCGTTTTTGCCGCTAAAAGTCAACGTACGCAGTGTCGCGTGACGTCACTATATCCGAATCGAGCGCGCCGGCGTACTATTGGGATGGAAAATATTTTTTCCAGCTAAACCATTAGTTTTAGAAAAAAACTTTTAATAACTATATATGTTACGGCTAAAGATAGGTGTGAACATAAACTTAAGATTAGCCGGCTAAACTTAAGTTTATCTTTGATGAGGTGTTAATGTTAGTTTCTTCTATCTTTAGCCGGCTAAACTTAAGTGTAACCGCAGGCCCTTGGCTAAAAATGTAGAAGGAAATTAAAAAGGAAACAATGTAATAATGTTTACTATTTTGACACGAAAACTTTAATAAAAATAATCACTTTGATTACACATGTACTTTTATGTACCTACCTATGTAGGTATTCAAAATTACAATTATTACAATAACAAATTATTAATTACTTAAAACAATATCTACCTAATCATTAAAATAAAATAATAAGGAACCATTTGGTCATTACAGAATCTTCTGTAGGTATTTAAAATTACAAAATAAAAGTGCACGCGCGTTGTCTCCCCACCGCCCCCTCAAGCCCTCCGCCGGCCTGGCGCGCCCATCGAACACATTTTTAGCCGTTTCGTTTTGGCTAATGTGCACATTAGCCGGCTAAAGATGGAATATCACGACGCAAACTAACATGTTATCGAACTTTAGCTGCTTCTCGAAGATAAACTTAAGTTTAGCCGGCTAATCTTAAGTTTATGTTCACAACTATCTTTAGCCGTAACATATATATAGATAAACCTTTATTGTAAAACCCACAGTTATGGAAAACCTAACAATTGCAAAAGTTGTCAACGTCAAAATCCTATTGGCACTCCTTAACACTCTTTATCCTACCCTCTAATCCATATCTGTGATCCTACCTGACTGTGCCAGAAGCCAGAAGGTAGGTTAGCCGCTCTTTGCTTTTTTTTATCATCGTCATGCTTTTGGTTACTTTACTAAGTTTTAAGACATTAGTTGAAGCTTAAGACGCTAGATGGCGTTGTAACACTGCAAGAAAGCAACATCATGTCAAAATTTGTGTTAGTTAAAAATTCTGCCAATAGATGTCTCTTTTTAAGAATATTTTCTTGTAATCCAAAACTTTTAACTATTCTCGTTTTGCATATAAAATACTATAATACTCGTTAACTTGAGATCCTCGCCGGTTTTTGTTGACAAAAAATGATAAAGATAAAAAAAAAGGTAAAGTGAAGTGACGTGCAGTGCAAATTAAATAGTCTTGTGTAATGTGTGTTACTTTTCTAAATTGGGTATTTGCCACCACTTCCTAATAATACATTTTAAAGCATAACTTTTTTAAAAAGGCATGCAAGCACCTCATTCTGGTCTTAAAACCTAAATTAATTTTAAATTACCTGTCAATTAACATTTTTGGTTCGATTGTAATTGAAAAAAGTAGTTGACAAAATAGTAGTCATGTCACTGGCTGGTATTGCCATACAAAATCTATGGGAGAGTCCAGTGTGCCTACCATGAGTTTACGTTAGGTATGCTCGCTAGCGACTGCGTAAAAAAATGACATTTAAATGTATGACATATTGTGCAGCGCCCCTAGTGGCTACTTTCAAGAAATAAAATCTTCATAGAATTTTTTGACGTATTCGCTAGCGAGCTCACCTAACGTAAACTCATGGTAGGCACACTGTTTTGACAGTTTTTAAAAGTATGGAGGGCTATCGTTTTAGCGCTCACCAGTTGGCGCCACTGTAAGTGTAGAGTAAGGTCCTGTCACTTGCTAGTAGCGAAGACAGTGGCGCCAGCTGGTGAGCGCGAAAGTGGTAGGAGGACTAATCGCATTTGCACTCATCAAGATGGCGCCACTGTAGAGTAAGGTCCTGTCAATCGCCAGGGGTGCCAACTGTTAGGTAAAAAAACGATAGCCCTCATTGATCGCACAGATCACTATGTATTTATGTAGCAAGATTGATTGGGGGTGACTTGGCTAGGTACTCTTGGCTGTTCTTACATACATTTTACTTAACTTAAATACCTACCTACTCACCAACCTACATACTATTTTAGCTTTCAAGTTAACATGTAGCATGTGCAGTTAATACCTAATTACTTGTTAGCTAGTGATCCTTTAAAATGGACCGCTCCATTGGATTCCAGATGCAAATGCAGACCATTTCGGGCCTTTGACGTAACTGTTCTAATATACTTGAAAGGGTTCCCGATGTAAATGAATTTCGCCTTTATACAGGGTTACCGCAAGCAAGGTGTATGTAAATCCGCCCGGAGCGTTGAATTAGTGTGGTAAGTGAACAATAATTGTCCGCATGCGATTTAGAAATGGGTAAGGCAAAGCACGAAGGGAAGCTCAAATTTTGGTGCTTTTGTATTTGTATTAGATTTGTTAGAGCTACCCAAAAATACCATACAGTTTGGTTAGCACTCAATGTTGTAAGTCTTGTTAAAAGTCCATTAGATTATGCAAAAAGAGTCGCATCTATTCACCTAGGTGATTTACTTAATTCATAGATGAACAAAGGCGACCGCTTTAGTGAAATCAATTCACCTGGGCTGACCTAAATATTAAAGGTGATATCACCTGGCTGAAATGGTTTCGAAGTGATAATAATTCACCTCATATTATGAGGATACCAAAAAACACACTTCGTTCAACCAGACGAACAAAGTGGAAATAGGTAATCCTACAGAACCCTTCGTATGCAAGACCGACTCGCACTTGACCGATTTTTCAAACCACATCTACAAAGCTAGCGAACGAAACAATAAAGAATGTTTATAGAGCAAACGGGGAAATTTTAATTTTTCCTACAATCCGTGGTACGATTTTTCAGAAGGCCGGTGGGTAATTTCTATTCTTTATTATTTCTTTCTTTCTTTCACGAGTGCCAGTGGCCGTTTGAGAATAATTCCGTACTTTGAGCATCTAATTGGTCCAGGAAATTAAAGAGGGAAGAAAGTGTAACCGTGTTTATAAGGATAATTTACTTACGCTATTAATTTGGATGTGCTTTGGGAATGTTGTTACGTTTCTGGAAATGTTGTTATTCTGCGGGCTAGGGTAATAATAGGTTTACCTTTTTCGCTGTAGTTTAAAATTAATCAGTATAACCAGCTTTAATTTTGACTAGCTTTAATGGTGTACAAATTTTGAATTTGATATTTGTTATAATAATTATAAGTAATGTGCTTTATATCTAATGGCCATGTACTTACTTAGTAGGTATTTCTGTCATCTCTGACTGTAAGCAGCAGGAAAAACTTCTGATACCTACATTAATTTTCGTAGGTGTACAAGACCACAGTTGACCCAGAAATTATTCTAAAGTTCGTCTAATGCCCAAAGCGCATTAGTAGGTACCTACTTACTTACGTCTTTAGGAATGAGTTTTTTTGTAGTTTAATGGCAACCAAACCTCGCTGGGAGGTTTATTTCTACGTATGAGTTTTTCAAGATGGATCTTATTAGTGCCTGGACTTAGATTTAAGGTAGGTACGTGTTACGATTAAAAATACGTTATTTTTCCCTTGAATTTTATAAACTCCATAAAATCCTTTCAAGCGTCCACTCGTCATCAACTTAACCCTTACAA